AAAATTCACTAATTTTTTACATTATTTAAACTTTGCATGTCATTCAGAAGAAAATGTTGGTCAATCAAACTGCCGAAGACAAAGACAACAAGCTTTGGGTATACCAGGAGCCCTTGTACCAGAATGTACTGATTCCGGAAAGTTTACGCCGATTCAGTGTCAAGGTGCAGATTGCTGGTGTGTCAATGAAAATGGTGATGAAATCATTGGAACACGACGAGGACCAGAGGATGCCAGACCTGACTGCCAAGGTAATACAGGGTACTGAATGCATTATAACAGTACCCAAATGTTAATTACTAGTAAATGTTTTGGGTTTTATTTATGATGTTTCTTGCATATGCCTGGATCAACTTGGTCATGATGGGTAGATATGCATGTCAGTCTATTTGTTTTGTTGACCTTGACTGATTGACAGCAATTTTTGTCAACAAAGATCAATCTTTTTTAGCCACGTCTGTGCTGATTTCATACACACTTGATACAACAATTTTATGCATACCAGTTTTGTTGAAAGTAGTTACAAAGACAAAACATAATGATATGCTGTAAAATACTTTATTTTAGCTGGAGTTTTTAGGGAAAAAATCATCGTTGTTTCATTGCAATCAGCGCTACAGATCGCATTTTAACATTGCGGTAATTCACTTCCGCATTGCGTTAAAAAATCATCGTCAATAATCGGAAAATTTCATCATTACGACACATCATTTTGATCGGTTAATGAAAGACATGATCTGTTAGGTCAAAGGAAGTTGTTTCAGGTCAAATCGTGCTGAAAAACCTCATAGTGGAAAATTGCTTGCGCGAGAGTTTGCGTAAGATCCAAAACATACCAAAACGAAGATAATGATACCCTGGTAAATGCCTTCGGCTGTTTCCCCACAGACCCTACCCATTCTTTCGCCATAAATTCAAATGTGTGTGTTTTTTATGAACATATTTGTTTCTTATTGTAAGTGTCACTGACTCATTTTTTTTTCAAAAATAAGTGTTATTTTCCTGAGCTCGGCGTGATGAACGAATCATTTTTTTGAATAATTTTTCGTTGTTGGCAAGATGGTTACATTGTTCATCCCAAAACAAAATCATCTTTTCTGAGTTGGTCCTTGAGTATAAGCTCATCCCTTACTTTTCCCTTACGTGTTCTTGCCTATGGTCAGGGGAGTACGGTATACTGTGAAAATTCAGATCAGTCCAGTGTGAGTGATGAGAGTATATCATCGACGATGCCCCTTGTTCGGATGATAGTTCAGACTTCCATGTAATTTGAAATGAAACTATCTGCTTGGTGTTCCTGTGACACTTGTCCCATGATTTGCCAGTGCAGCCCCGTGAATACATGGACAAAAATGTTTCCACCACCACCCTACGAACTCAAGATTGCATACTCCAGCATCCATACTTTGAATAATTTGCACGCCGCACAGTGCAGTACTGGAAACAGCATTTATTAGACAGACAAAAACCAAAACAAAATGCCTGTCTCGATCAATCGCACATCCATAATATTTGTATGTTGATACGCTTGTAAATAACATAACGTAAAGGTCGAAACAACCTAGACTAAAAGTCAATTCACCTGTCCAGCCAACTATGGCTCCCTAAGTTGTTTATAATTAATCAGATACTATTTCGTCATGCGTTGTTACCTTTCCTGTTTATACCTCATGAGGGCGTTTTTTTATGCCAAGATGGCGCAAATGGAAGTCCTTCGCGGGTTTATGGTTTCTCATATTAAATCATCAAAACTCTGAAGATAATCATTTTTTTTTTTATATTATTATTATAATCAATATACATAACTTGATAAATACAAACACCAAATTAGGCTCTATTTAGTTCCCCTTTAATGTAAAATATAGGAAAAAAGGTATATTCGCTGGATTTTATTTTCAATGAATTATTCTTTTAAGTCCAAGCAAAAATAAAGTATTTCACAGTACGTAGTCAGGTCAATTTGTTTTGTCTTTTGACTGACTGTTTTTTTTGTTTAAAATTGTTGTCATGTATTATTTCTTAGGCATATCTGGGCTGATTATATTCAAACAAGATTCAGTCATGACATGGCTGACTGTCACAGTGACTTGCCTATTGAGGAACACAAAATAACTTGTTGTCTCTTTTGTTAGATGAGCAGCCAGATGATACACCATGTAGAAGGCAATACATAGAAGCCATTGCTGATTCAGAGTTCATTGTTGGACTCTTTATACCACAATGCACTCAATCTGGTGAGTTTGAATCAACCCAATGTCATGGCAGTACAGGTTACTGTTGGTGTGTCACAGACAATGGAGAGGAGATACCAAATACTAGAAGATCACCAAATGAAGATCAAGTCATTTGCCAAGGTAAGTATTTGTTAAGCTTGTAATTATTGGTTTTCTTGCTAGATAATAGTAATCTTATTGATTTCATAGTGATGTGTAAGATGGTGCCAGAACTTTTATTTTGAGTGTAAAATGCTGCCACAGAAACACACACTCCTGACAGAGTTTTATTACTCTTGTGCACAACCTACCGGGTAAGTCAACTTGACATTTAGATGTGTCCTCTTTAGTTTTTTTGAAATTCCTTTCTACGATTCTTGCTCCACAATTTTGTAGAAGAAAGAGAAAGTTGTTTTTAACCAAAAAAATGAGGGGAAAAAATTCCATGTTCTCAAATATTCAAGGCTTACATTTTGTTTATATTCATTTTATATTACAGAGGTCCCAAGGGGTGATACAGAATGCCATAGACAGCGTTCACATGCTTTATCCAATCTACTACCGGGTCAGATTGTACCCCAGTGTGCAGAAGAAACTGGAGGATTTTTACCAAGACAATGTTGGGCCAATTCTGGATATTGTTGGTGTGTTAATGAATTAGGAAAGGAGGTTCCAGGAACTAGAACAGGACCACATGATCCAAGACCAGAATGTGATAGTGAGTTGTGTTCATAGAAATTTAAAATTACTCAACAGTTCAAGGAGTCTCATCACAACCTTATTGCATGTGATACTTGACAACTTATAACTTTTTTATCCAACACTCTACATTGTGTGAAACCTTGCATAAAAACTAATTCTGTACTTCCTATCTAAATTTGTGTCTTCTTACAATGAGCCTTGATTTAGTAACTATAAATACATTCAAAAGATAATGTTCTGGAAAAAATGTAAATGATCTAAAATCATTCTTACCCTGTTGTAATTGTGCTGTACATGTGTGTGCAGTAAGATCCATCTAGTGATGAATCATATAAAGATCAGTGATAGACATGAACTACAGTATTACTTGCAGCCATATTTCATTTACCACATCTACTGGCAACACCCATTTTTCCATTGATTTTGGTATATCCATGGTGGCTTTCAGAAGGTGATCTATTGAATGGACTGTGCATGCATCAGTGAGTACAATGTAGGTGAAAACAAACCAGAGAACAGAACTATGAAGAAATAGGAATATGTGCAATTCTGGTGATAGTGAGTTTAACTGATCACTCATTGCTTTACAGAATATCAACCCAAACGTGATACTCTGTGTCGGAGTTTGAGAGCGGATGCTTTGGTTCGTTTATACCCAGACCAGTTTATCTATGAATGTACACAGGATGGTGACTTTGAACCGTTACAGTGCTATGGTTTCACCGGCTCATGCTGGTGTGTTAATCAGAAAGGAGAGGAGGTAACAGCTACACGGAGTACGCGGTATGAACCAGCTCCCGATTGTGAAGGTTAGATTGAAATGTTTAATATTTATCAAGTGACATATTGACTGAAATGGCTTATAGTGTAATGTGTATTAAAATGTTTGTAAAACAATGAATTGTGCACAGTGCCATACTAGATGGAAAGTAAGATTGAATTTGTAGTGTCCCTGTGGTTAATTTATTGTAATGGTTAGTTTGTTTAATGGCATGGATGTAAGTGAAATTTATAAAAATATGACTGTCCAAAGGTTTCCTTGGTTAGTGTCATTATCATGTTATTTCTTTATGTTGAATACAGTTTATCTGAATACCTGGGTTCTGAGATCACCACAAATACATTTACAATATAAAAACAAAATCTTCTGTCTATAATTGAGCAGTAAAAGTTGCAGCTGGATGTAACATGCAATACACATTTTATTAATTTTTGTAGAGAGCAAATCTGACCTCTGAATAAGGCCGGTTGGTTAATGCCTATTTTATTCTAATTTTGTTTACAAATACACCGTACAATATATCATTAATGCAGTTCTGGAAAATACCTGCTTTTTATATTGGGGACACTATGTATGTACATTGGCCGTGATAGGGATATTGTTATTTTGTTACCTGACAGTACAGGTATATGGTATTGCAGTAGAAGCTCCTACATGTGCTACCACTCTTGGTCTTTTAAGCAATCAGAATTTCATTTACGCCAAACACAGAATTTTTTAGTGACATTTAAATATTCCTTGATTCATACCATGTTTGTATATTACAGCTTACAGACCTCTGGGTACCCCATGCCTTCGCCACAGAGAAGAAGCTCGAAACAGCATAGACCTTGGAGGTCGTGCCTATATACCCGCGTGTAGAGATGATGGATTCTATTCAGAGATACAATGTTACAGTGGTCAAGATGCTGGATACTGTTGGTGTGTTGATTACAAAGGTCAGGAAATCTCTGGTACAAGAACTTTAGAGAGAGGGAAAACTCCTAATTGCAAAGGTATGTAACGTGGTCTATGCAGGATAATTAGAATTTGTTGGCATCATTATTTCTTGAGACATTCATTAGCATTTGCAATGTCAGAAGTTTCCACATTGTTTATGTTTCTATGATAGTTGAAACGAAAATCAAGATTGATTTAATTACCCAAAATGATATGAATAATT